CACGCCCCTGGCGCCCGCCCCCTGCCATATTTCATTCAATCGGGAATGAAAATGGTCAGTCTCCTGGAGACATGTAATTTTACCCCAATGACCGATACGGGTAGGCGTGGCCGCTGGGGCCTCAGGCTGGGGCTGCGAGGGAGGGGTCATTACAGTGTCTGGCGGCCGGGTGAATCAGCTGCACTATTCAATCTAGAAGTGTCGACCCCTTACTACCACTGTTTCGGAAGGCCTTGCTTTTACATCAAATTGTTTCCCTGACTCTTCCAGTGCTCTTTTTTCTTTATTTAACCGAATCGCGACACTTGGCCGACAAACAGACCGGTGATCAATAGATTTCAAGCGAAATGGAAAAGGCGGAAGGGGAGGATTTAATTATTGGCAACAACGATGGGGAGTTTGCCAAAGACCAGGTAGGGCATAATTATTATGAAAGGAGTGGGGTACAGCTTTAGAGAATTCTTCCATTGTCTGTAAGGGGATTCCTAGGAAGCGCAATTAGTGTGTGGACCAGACCCGCCTCCCCGCAGCATCTCTCTCTCTCTCTCTCTCTCTCTCTCTCTCTCTCTCTCTCTCCGTTGTACAGGCACGAAGCCGGAGCGCAGCCACGGTTACCCACCTGTCTAACTCAGAGTAACATGATATGAGCGCCTCCGGGGTTACACCGGCGCACTGCTGGCCGTGCCCAGGCCGTGCCGTGCTGTGCAGCGCGAGAGGGTCGTGACGGGGGAGGGAGAGAGAGAGGCCGGAGAGCAGGGCGAAGGAGAGAGGGATATGTAGCAGCAGAGGGCTGTGGCTGTGGGCTGTAGGGAAGAGGGTAAGTCCGTGTAAGCGGGAGAAAAATGGGCCGAATACGATATACCAGGTAGCTGATTCACGCCGCACTTTCGTAAATACTGTACCGCATGCACGCGTGCGGGTAGGTTGCCTACTCGCACGGGGCCAAAAGGAGCTGTGGGCTGCAAGGGGGGAGGGGGGCAGTTTGCGAGTAGGCAACCCACCCGCACGCGTGCATGCGGTACAGTATAATTACGAAAGTGCGGAGTGAGTCAGCCACCTGGTATACTGCACGCCCAGTCATCTGTACATGGTTACAGGGGTACAAATATACTTGACGGAGTGGAGACGAAAGAGGAGGCTAACCGGACAACCATTTCTCGCATTGCAGGTAAAGAAACACGGGAGGATTATGCGAGCACAACAAAGGGGGGCGGGCGGCGGCGCGGCCTTGGTGGTCGGCGGGCAGGGGGAAGGAAAGCGGGGGGCGGCGGTGAGGGAGTTGTCGACATATTTCGACGGGATTCGGACATCAGCCTCCAACAAAAGGCTGCAAAGGTAGGAAGGTAATTTGTGCAAGGGCGCACGCAGCGCATATGGAAGCCTAACGACCAAAGCCACCAACCACTGGGTTGATCAAAACGCGCACACCAGATAAGACCTTTCAAACTTGAGGTAATGATGCAATGTTGAGATGACACTATTGTCAACATTCATTGAACTTGGACATTTAGAAAAGCAAGCACGATAGAGCAGACCACGGAACACTTTTCAGCATGGGCGACGCCCTCTGGCTGGCCCTGAAGGCGCCGCGCCGTGGTGAGAGGCGGTAGGCAAACCCGCCCGCACGGCAGCTTGCGGTACGGCCTGTCACTACGAAGTGTTCCGGGGGGTTTCATACACACAAAAACGTGTAAGCTGACGAAAACCAAAAACACGGCTAGCATAAACTCAGTACAGTTGTGTGTGTGTGTGTACATTTGGAAGTTGATGATAATAGCAAATAATAACAACGTGGCAACACTGTGCTCCAGCAGCGGGCGGGCCCAGGGCAGGGCGGCGGTAGGCCAGGTGTCGGCGAGCCACCTGCCGGCTGGTCCCGCCCTGGCGGCACAATGAGCCGAGGGGTCCCGCAAGCAGCGGCAAAGCAGGGCTGTTGACAGGCGGCAACCCGCCTAAAAGAGCTAACTAGGTGCTTCCTTACAAAGGCGCCCACCGACAGGGAATAATAACGACGACGGGGAGGTGGTGCGGGCGGAGAAAGAAGCGGAGGCATTGCAGAAATCGAGCAGAGTCGGAAGCTTTGTGAAAGTTTACGTTGATACTGTACTTTCTCATAGCTCGTCTCTGATCACAGAGGGGCGCAAATAAAGCGGATGCCCTTTATAGCGTCGTCAGCAACCCCTTCGCCTCCCAATAGCCCATGGTGCTCTCCGTGCGTTCAGGTTGCCGGCCCTCAAGGAGCAGCAGGACGGTATGGTCGTTGGTCGTACGCACGCGGCCGCGGGGTCGGGTGCGGCGGGGCGTGGCGGGGCGTGGCGGGGCAGGTCGCGCTAATCCCGGTGCCCTACCTAGCCGACCTGGCCCAGGTTGCTCTCTCTCGGCCTCTGTCCGCGCCAT